TGGTCATTGGAGAGTCCCCAACCTTCACCATGGTCAATGGAGAGTCTTCAGTCATTGGAGAGTCCCCAACCTTCACCATGGTCATTGGAGAGTCCCCAAAGTCATTGGAGAGTCCCCAACCTTCACCATGGTCATTGGAGAGTCCCCAGCCCTTGTCATGGTCAATGGAGAGTCCCCAACCTTGATCATGGTCAGTGGAGAGTCCCCAACCTTCATTGGAGAGTCCCCAACCTTCATTGGAGAGTCCCCAACCTTCATCCTGATGATCCTCAAGTCCTTGCTCTGCTTCATCATCATGGAGAACGTCCAGCGTTCATCGTTGACATTGGAGAGTCCCCAACCTTCATCATGGTCAGTGGAGAGTCCCCAACCTTCACCATGGTCATTGGAGAGTCCCCAAAGTCATTGGAGAGTCCCCAACCTTCACCATGGTCATTGGAGAGTCCCCAACCTTGGTCATGGTCATTGGAGAGTCCCCAACCTTGGTCATGGTCATTGGAGAGTCCCCAACCTTCATCATGGTCAATGGAGAGTCCCCAACCCTCATCATCCTCATGAAGAGTCCCCAACCTTCACCAGGGTCAATGGAGAGTCCCCAACCTTCATCATCCTCCTCAAGCTCTTGGGCTTCATCCTCCACCTCGAAGAGCTTCGAGGAGCCCTTGGCCTTCATCAGGAGAGTCCTTGACCTTCATCATCCTCAGAGAGTCCTTGGCCTTCATCATCCTCAGAGAGCCCTTGGCCTTCATCAGGAGAGTCCTTGACCTTCATCCTCCTCAGAGAGTCCTTGACCTTCATCCTCCTCCTCCTCAGAGAGTCCTTGGCCTTCATCAGGAGAGTCCTTGACCTTCATCCTCTTCAGAGAGTCCTTGGCCTTCATCAGGCGAGTCTTTGACCTTCATCCTCCTCATCAGAAAGCCCTTGGCCTTCATCAGGAGAGTCCTTGGCCTTCATCATCCTCAGAGAGTCCTTGACCTTCATCATCCTCAGAGAGCCCTTGGCCTTCATCAGGAGAGCCCTTGGCCTTCATCAGGAGAGTCCTTGACCTTCATCCTCCTCAGAGAGTCCTTGGCCTTCATCAGGAGAGTCCTTGACCTTCATCATCCTCAGAGAACCCTTGGCCTTCATCATCCTCCTCAGAGAGTCCTTGACCTTCATCATTGTCTTCTGAGGGCCTTGGCCTTCATCATGTTGATCTTCATCATCATCCTCA